CTGGGCTTTGTCTTTCCAGAGACCCCTGCCCCAAAGCCACACAGAGTTGGTGGCAGAGCTCTGAGGGCCAGCCTGAGAGAGAGACTCAAACTCCACCCCCACCCCCCAGTCTCAGCCACTGGATGCTGGGGACCCAGGCCTCGTCCCCACCCCATGTCCCCACTCACCAGTTGAATTCATTGTAGTCATTGTGGACTTCCCACCAGAAGTAGAGCCAGGTGAGTGTGAGGCCGAAGGTGACGGTGAGGAGCAGGAACCAGAGGCGTTCCCACTGGAGGAGCAGAGCAGGAGAGGGGTCAAGTGAGGTCACGGGTTGGCCTAGCAGGCCGCCTGCCTGAATGTGCCCTCCTTCTCCCCCTCTGCAGCCAAACCTGCCAGGCAGGGATTGGTGCCCTCTTCACAGTGGTAGGGACCTGAGGCTCAGAGGGGGGAAGTGTCCTGTGCAACATCGCAGAGCCTGAGGCACAAACTGGGGGGGAGCTGGGAGCAGGGTGGGGCTCCACCCCCGAGGGGGGCCCTATGGCCGCAGCCTGAGGCCTTGCCAGCGTGCACCAGTCTCTCGGCTCTGGCAGTGGCCCCAGGAGCAAAGGCCACATCTGCCCGGAGCCTTCCCGCTGGCATGGTGACCTGCAGTCTGTGATCGGTCACAGTCTTCATCTCCTTCCCTCCTCACACAGGCCTACAAAGCAGGCATTATTCTTCCCCACCTCTGCTCTGAACTACTGACTAAACGCTGAAGCCCAGAGAGGCAAAGCGATTGCCTAAGTCACACAGCCAGTTATCAGAGGATTAAAGCCCCCCCCCCCCCTGACTCTGGACTTGAGGAAATGCAGGGTTCTGCGGTCCCCCACCAGGCACTGGCCCCTCAAGGCTGGGCCAGGCCACCCCTCTGTCTCCTGTAGGAGTGGGGATGCGGAGGGTGGGGGCTGCTGACCCACACGGCTGCTGCTCAGTCTGCAGCCGCTTCCGCTGGGCCCCGGGTTTAATCCTTGCTTCCATCCGCCCCCTTATCTCAGAAGCACAGCAAGCTTGGACATCCTGCTGTCTGGGAAACTGCTGAGGTCATCAGAACCAACCCACGGCCCTGGAGGGGAAGTCAGTGCAGGAGAGAACCAAGACCACCCCCTCGATGGGCTGGAGGGTTTGCAGCCGCTGGGCAATCTCTCGCGCGGGCACTATCAGGAGGCCTTTGCCAGGCTCCGTGCAGCTCACCTCACAGCCAGCCCTGGGCTACAGTTCTAATCCCAACTTACTTTCTTCATGGCTCCTGACTGCTTAGCCAAGCAGGGGTTCCCTCTGGGGGTGCTCCCCACCCTCACCTCTCCCGCTTCATATCCCCTGCCAGTTCCCTCGCTCTGGGTGTGGCCACCTCACATTCCCATTTACCTTTCAAGTCCGCTCAAATGTCACCTCCTCTGGGAAGCCTTCCTGGCCTTTGCCCCTGCCACCATGCTCCCTCCTCGGGGCTCCCACAGCATCGGGGAACCTCTTTAAACTCGCCTTCTATACACTGTGATCTGTCCATGTGACTGTGTCTCCCCCATGACAACCCTGTGTCGCCTCGGCTTCTGCGAGGACAGGGCCTGAGCCTGCCTCCACTCCCTCAGTATTGGTGACGAGGAGAAGAGGGAGCGTTCACTCGCTGCCCAGGATACCGCCATCCTACACTGTCAACAGACAGCACAGCGGAGCCAGATTCCCTGCCCACCACTTACCAGCTGTATAACCTGGGCAGTGCAAGCCGATGCAGCCTGTGCCTCAGTTCCCCGCTCTGTGACATGAGGACCATAGTACTTATCCGTGGGGTCGATGTGAGAATTAAATGAGATAATACAACTCAGGCGCTCGGCGCTGGCAAGCAGTCAGTGTTCTCGGCGCATCTGTAAGTACGTTCTGCCTCTCCCCAGCACGCGGGGAAGGCCCTCAAACCCTGGCGAGTCGTGACTATGAACACTTCCTGGGCAGGAGGTGGGTGACAAAGCAGCCTCCTCCACTTGGAACATAAATGGAGATGGGATGATGACAACACGCAGAAGGAGGTGGAGGGGGGTGGCTTCTCAGAGAGTAGGCCACTGGTGTCTGCCCCTCCCTGACACAGAATGTCATGAGCCCAGTTCCAGGCCCAGCAAGGCCCAGCCTTGCTCAGGAATGGAGGAACCTGGCAGGGGCAGGCAAGCCATGTGCCTTTCTGGAGCGATGGAACCCCAGCAGCCACCGCCAGAGACTGGCTGGGACTGTCTAGGGGAGCAGAGAAGGGCCCAATTTCAGCCCTGCTTTCTGCGTCTGGGCCCTGGCTCAGAGAGGCTGGCCCACACTGGCATAACTGAGCCAGCACCCCCACCCGGCGGGTCCAGCATCCTTCCCTTCCACATCCTTCTAAGAATCCCTCTTGCTACCTCCATTTCTTATTTGCTCACAGATAAAAACTCATTTGCACCCATTTCCTGCAGAGGGCAGCGGCAGGTCCCAGGCCAACTTCAACATCTGGGTCTCCTAAGACTGGTCCACCTTGGTGATGTCCTGCTCCAGCTTGAGAGTCCCACGGGCCTGAGCCCCCCAGTCCCCCCGCTGCATCCCAGCCCCACCTCTGCCCCACATGTGCACCCTACACGCCACGCACCGAATTACCCACCGTTCCTCACAGGGGAGACTCCCGCTCCTCAGCGTTCGCATTACCCTTGCACCCATGTCCATTCCCACAAACGCCCTGCAGTTCTATTTACTGTCTCTCTGAGTGTGGGTCTCCTTGTTGTACTGTGAGAGCCTTGAAAATCTGGATGGTCTTCATATTCCCAGGGTGAGTGGGAACTTAAGAAAGAGGTGATAATGAAACAGAAGGCGAGAAAACAACCTTTCTCCTCTCCCCAATGAGTACGCCCTCCCAGGAGAGATCTCACTGGGGCCCCCCACAGAGGAGCCTTAGACTTCTGCGGACCCTGAGCCGGCAGTGGCGAGTGGCCACCTGTCCAGAGATCGCTCTACCTCAGTGGGACAAGGCCGCTGCGCCTCTGAGCAGGTGATGAGGTTCTCGGAGGGGCCCCGGGGAGAGCTGAGCCTCGGCCTGTGATGGGTCCTGTCCCAGGCAAGCAGGCTAGGGGACCACAGCTGGTGGGACCAGGGGGCTGGCTGCAGGGACAGGGAGAGTCACAGGTGTTGGGAGATGTCCTGGGACGAGCTGTGATGTAGGACCCGGGGCGATGCTGACAGGTGGCCAGAGCGACCACAGGTGTCGGGAGGGGCCATGGCAGGCAGGCAGGCGTCTTGTCCACTAAGGGTCACTGTCCTCACTTGGCTAGATCCTGAGAGTGGGGCAGGGAGGACAGGGCACGAATGAGGGGCTGCCCTGCCCTGCCCCTGGGAACCAGCCAGAGCGGCAAGACTAGAGCTGGCAGATGTGTGAGGCACCCAGAGCATGACACGGAAGGAAGCAGGGCCTACGCAACGGGGATCCAGGAACCCCATTATCAGGCATGAGCTAGGGTTGGGGGCACCTAGGGAAACCGGTCCTAGGAACTGGAAGCCAGAGGCCCCATGGCCACAGGGAGCCTGTAGATGGGGATAGAGAGGCACCAACACAGGGGGCAGGTGGGGGAGGGGCGCAGAAGGGTCATTCTAAGAACAATCAGAGGAAAAAACTGAATGGCAGGGGCTGGAGGAAGGGGGAGAAGAAGGCAAGGAACTGGCAGGAGGAAGTGGGGGGCGGGGAGCAGCTCACTGACAAAGAGGCTCCAACGGCACTAATGGTCCTTGTCAGGGCGGCGCAGGGAGGCCGGGGATGCTGCTCACATTAATGAGCCAGCCTGGCCCTGCTCCGGGCTGAGCAGCCAGAGGAACGGCAGCGGGTCCACGGGCCCCCGTCACCCCTCACAGTCGGTACGACGCCGGGGTACTTATTTATGGACAGTTATCCCAGCGGAGAGCAAATGAAGACACTGCACCTCAGCGAAGGGCCCCCTGTATGGCTGAGCCAGCTGTGGAGCCCAGCACTGAAAAGTGCCACTTCCATCGTGGTTCCCGCAACGGGCATATCTGTCATGACAACTTTCCAGCGGATGCCGGTCAGGAGTCCTGGGGAAGGGGCGCCTTTTGCTAATTTGCACCTATATGGATGAGTGGAGGTGACTCAGAGGTGGAGCGATGTACCCAGTGGGGGAGGAGGGGACGTGGGACTGAACCCAGGTGTCCTGACAGGAGGCAGTCCCCACAGGCTCCACCCGTGCCCTGCACGGCCACCCCAGGCCCAGCTCAGCTCGCTGGGATTCCTCTCTCCTCTCTCTCTGCCCCTCACCCCCAACCTCTTTCTCGCAGGGGAAGCCCTCCCATTGCCCAGCCTCTGAAGACCTCCCTTCCCGACCCCTTCTGCAGAGATTCCTGGGATGGACCCGCCCACGTGACCCTCCACCACATGAATGACGGCGATGGAAGAGGCCAGGCTTGAGAGGCAGAAGACAGACCTGGCCCTGCCACTTGGGCAACGTACTCAGCTCCTCTGAGTCTCGGTTTTCTCACCCATAAGATGGCAGTGATAAGCCCTGCCTCAGAGGGTTGATGTTCAATGAGGTGCAAACGTCAAGGGGCACACGGAGCCTCATATGGTCAGTTTGCAGGCTGTGGGCTCCCTGGGGCCGGGGTGATGAAGATATCGCAGCGTGCCCGGGCCCACATCCTGTGGGGCACAGGTAGTGTTTAGATTGGTATGAGGAACAGAGGATGTGTGATGGTAGCTGTCATGCAGGAAGGCTTCAGGGCGCCAGTGGACAAGACCAGACATCATCTCGGGCTGAGCCTGGCGGCCCCACGCAACCAAGGGAAGGCGCTCCTGTGACACGCCAGCCTCCTTCCTCTGCAGGACAAAGGTCAAGCAGTTCCTGCGCTGACAGGTGCAGCCGGCAGGAGGAGGAGGAGGCTGAGAGCAGCCCGGGAAGGGATGGGCCCTGGCTGTGCACTGCTCACTCTCCCAGCTGTGGCTATGACAGAATCCCGGCGGCCACAGGCATTCAGCCCACACCCCCAGCCTCGTCTCCTCCCACTCTTGTCCCCCCCACCCCCCATGAAGATGAGACCCTCCATCCTTGCCGAGCACCAGCTCGCCCATTTCCCCAAACACCCGGCTCCTTCTCTCTCACTGCCTCATGCTGATTGTCACGTCTCCTCCTCTCCCTCTTCATCTGTCCCGCCCACCCCAGAGCCTTCTGCATTCAGAGACAAACGGTGGCAAGAGCTTATTAGCAGCCGGGGCTCACACAGTCACAGTCACGGAGCTGGGCTGGA